GAAGGGACAGAATACACATTCCTAAGAGGTCTGCAAAGGGCGTGCATGTGCACCATCGTGCCTACCATCCCTGTCCTATTATCCCCATTTATTCACACCTATTTCTGATATTCATACTCATGTTTATACTTATACCTATTATCTTGTAAGCGATTGACAAATCAAATAAATAAAAATAAATAAATAAATCTCAATCTGTCTTTAAAAAATATTGGATTTGGGATCCAACAGGGACCAGATTGGAGAAGTCCATCCTAGGAGGAATGGTTTTCTCAACGTAAAAGGTCTTGATCCTTGAACAAGCAAAAGGGAATTGGAGAAGATAATTGGGTGGGATCTGGATTTCTGTGTTTTGGGGGAGCATGGTCAGGAATTCAAAGGGAAGTCTGGGAGAAGAATTAGTCCACCAAACAAGCTCCATCTCAGTGTTCCAACGAAACTCCCCATTTCCATTCAGCACTCAGAAACAAAGACCATCCAAGTAAGAATTTTTGAAAGAAGTCATGTTGGCACATCTAGAAAAACCCGAATCCGAGGATTTCCCCTTCCGCAAGAGAAATTCAAAATCCATCCCCTGCACTCATCAGTCCATCACATGGCCCAATCAAACATGGCCCATCTGGAGCCATCCCTCCAGACACTACAGGTGCAGGGTAACTTGTCCTTGACTTCTAAGAAAGAATGTTGTTGAGTCTACTCTTCTACTCAAAAAGCAAAACGTTTCCCTCACAGGCTAACAAGTCCATCCAGCAAGGAGATGAATAGTTGTCTGCCACATCTATTCATCTCCACCCCCTGCCTTTTATCCCCAGAGCTAGGGTGGGGCTTCGCTAGCAGCGGTTGCTCTTCCGTCCCAAGGACCGGCCCATAGATTTCCACTGCTCTCCTCTCCTCTGCCTTCTGTGCATCCACACGTCATGCACTGGAGACAGCTGTTCCTCCTTTTCCTCATCAGTCACCTCCAGACCTGGGGGCTGTTGACTCTCCATCTGAGAGATGACGGACAGCCCAAGCTCTGCCTCTCTCTCTCTCTCTCCTTCTCTCTCTCTCTCTCTCCCTCTCTCTCTCTCTCTCTCTGCCAGCTCCATTCCCTCTTCCCCCTCAGAGCTCTAAGGTTGCCCTGATGCTGACCCTGACTCCCACGCCTCCTCCTCCTGATTTAGCTGCTGGAGGGGCCAGTAGCCGACAGGCCACAACACAAATTTGCACCCATGACACGGGCAAAGCACATCAACATTCTAGCATCTTCGTATTTCGCTCACTTACGTTGTCCCCTTCGCTTCGCAGTTTCCAAAAAGGCTGGATGTAGAACCAAGAGCCTTCGTTCCCGGCCGTATCCAAAGAGACACGCATGGCATTCTTTTCCAACAGGGCTGGCAATCTCTTATTGACGGTGAGATATTTGTTGCTCTTGATATGAAGCAGCTGTGCAGGAGGAAAATAAATAAGGTTCATGCATTCAGACTCAACCGTTTGGTTACGATTCGACCTAAGTTATGTTCCTGCACTACTAGAATGTGAGGAATGCTCTTGATTTTGGCTGTCTACTTTTGAAGGGAATGGGAACAAGAACTTGGCTAACCACAATACAAGGTGGCATAATTTAGCAGCTGAAGTAGCACAGTTAGAGTGTAGTATTGCAGGCAAACTCTTGACCACTGCCAGGAGTTCGATCCTGACTGGCTCAAGGTTGACTCATCCTTCTGTCCTCCCAAGGTCATCAAAATGAGGACCCAGATTGTTGGGGGACAAGAGGCTGACTCTGTAAACCACTTAGAGAGGGCTGGAAAGCACTGTGAAGCGGGATATAAATCTAAGTACTATTGCTATTCCTTCCTTCCCTTCTTCCTTCCTTCCTTCCTTCCTTCCTTCCTTCCTTCCTTCCTTCCTTTCCTTCTGTGTTGGCACAGTGGTGAGAATGCAGTATTACAGGCTAACTCTACCCCCTGCCATCAGTTCGATCCTGACCAGCTCAAGGTTGACTCAGCCTTCCGTCCTTCCGAGGTCATTAAAATGAGGACCCAGATTAATGGGGGCGGGGGGCAGAGGCTGACTCTGTAAACTTCTTAGAGAGGGCTGGAAAGCACCGTGAAGTGGTATAGAAATCTAAGGGCTCTTGCTCTTACTATATATTTACAGTTCTCACATTGCAAATGCTATCAACTTTCCACAACAGACTAATGGCTCAAATTATGAACCATAATTCACAAATTATGAATTATGAACCAACGATGCAATTATCTGGATAATGGCACCATACACACACACACGTGTGACATCGTATCGTTGTCATTGTGGCTTTTTCAGACAGCTTTGTGTCACTACATATACTCTGCAAAAGGGTCCCAACGGAAGGTGACTCAGACACCATTAAACCAAGTTGTTCAAGGTGGCCAATTGACTTCCTGTTTCAATTTCCTCATTTCATTTTCCTTGTCTATAAACCACCTACAAATTTGGAATTTTTGACTGTGCTTTCTTTTTTGCAAAAGATTCCTCCTAACTTCTGTTTGAAGGGTGGCTGGTTTTTTTTTTTTCTTTTTAAAGGAAAAAAGTTTTTTTTAATAGTTCTAAATTTTAAGGGTTGCATTCCAACCAGAGAGATCAAGCTTTAAACCACCACTGAATAACTGACTGGGTTACTGTAGGCCAGTGAACTCCGGAATGCTGTAGGCCAGTGAACTCCGGAATGCTGTGAGATAAATATGAGACATATCTATGGGCTGCACCTTGAACCTCTGGAGTAAATGTGGGATATATTTGCAATAAATATGGTACTAGATAGGCGTGGTGTTTTGTTAATCAAATTAAAGGACCCACCTCTGAGATACTTAGAGATTGTCATGCAAGGATAAGGAAAATACAGGTGGTTCTTGACTTACAATCAACAATTGAACTCAAAATTCCTGTCGCTAAGTGAGACAGTCATTAAATATGTTTTGCCCCATTTTACTATATTTCCCATCATCGTTACTAAGTGAATTGCCACAGTTGTTAAGTTAGTTGCCCGGTTATTAAGTGAATCTGGAATGAGGTGGAAGGGAAGGGAAGGAAGAGAAGAGAGGAGAGGAGAGGATAGAAGGAATAGGAATATAATAGGGAAGGGAAGGGAAGAGAACAGAAGAGAAGAGAAGACTGGAGCAGGGAGAGGGGGAAGGGAAGGGAAAGGAAGGGGAGGGGAGGGAAGAGAAAATATGGAATGGAATGGAATAGGAATAAGAATAGATTAGAATTACATTAGCATTAGCATTAGGAGGGAAGGGAAGGGAAGGGAAGGGAAGGGGAGGGAAGGGAAGGGAAGGGAAGGGAAGGGAAGGGAAGAGAAGAGAAGAGAAGAGAAGAGAAGAGATGGAATGGAATGGAATGGTGGAAGGAATCACCTCCAAGAATCATTGCTTCCTATGAGACATTGCTTCCCCCTTTCAAGGACACCCTGAGCAGATGTCCCAGTGTGACTGGCTGATTCCCATAACAAAACGAACAGAAGTGATTAGAGGACGTAATGGATTGTGGGTGGCCTGTAAGGGAAACGGCCGAGGGAATTGACTATGCTTGCTTTTGCGCGGGAAACCCAGAGCTGGTTTTGCTTCTTTTCTGCCAACGCGGTTTATTCAATACAGTTTTATACCCCTGGTAAAATAATGTTTCTTTTTCTGGATTCGCCAACTGGACAACCGTGGACACCCGATCTCTTTGTGGCTTCCAAAAGACTCACCTGGATCACGTTGCTGTATTTCACAATCTCCCCCAGCAACTTCCGGTTCTCACATTCGTTCTGCTTCTGTTCCAGTTCAGCTGCATGCTGCAAGGGAATCGGTTGAGTTGAATTATTAACAGAACCACAGTGTTGGAAAGGCCCTTGGAGGTCTTCTAGTCCATCCCCCTGCTCAAGCCTATACCACTTCAGACAAATGGCTGTCCAGTCTCTTCTTAAAAGCCTCCAATATTGGAGCACCCACAACTTCTGGTGGCCAGCTGTTCCACTTGTTAATTGTTCTCACTGTTAGGAAGCTTATCCTTAGTCTAAGAGCCGTGGTTAGATTGCAGTACTGCAGGCTACTTTTGCTGATTGCTGGCTGCCTGCAATTTGGCAGTTCGAATCTTACCAGGCTCAAGGTTGACTCAGCCTTTAATACTTCCAAGGTGGGTAAAATTTCTTCCTCCCTTCCTCTCCCTCCCTCCCTTCCTTCCTCCCTCCCTCCCTCCCTCCCTTCCTCCCTCCCTTCCTCTCTTATTCCCTTTCTCATTCTCCTTCCTGGTGGCACAGTGGTTAAAGTGCAGTATTACTGCCAGGAGTTCAAATCCCACCAGGCTCAAGGTTGACTCAGCCTTCTATCCTTCCAAGGTCAGTAAAATGAGCACCCAGATTGTTGGGGGCAATAGGCTGACTCTGTAAACTGCTTAGAGGGGACTGTGAAGCACTCTAAAATGGTATATAAGTCTAACTGTTATTGCTATTACTATTAGTTCTAGGTTGCTTGTCTCCTTGATGGGTTTTGAATCCCAAGCTTCAAGACTAGCCTCTAGATCAGCAATTCTCAAAATGTGGTCTGGAGACCCCTGGGGATTCCCCATAGCCTTTCTGGGGGTCCACAAAATCAAATAAACAAACATTTGAACATGTCTCAGTTTTAACTTCTACTACGGTGCGTGTTGACTGATATATTTATAGGCCACGTCAAACGTTTCAACTTTCAATTTCCAAACATTAGGAGTGCTCAAAAGCTGTGATAATCCTCGGGAATCGTAAAGGTATTTCAGTTACTTTAACATAATTTAGATGTGCTTGGTAAGTTAAATAAAATATCATTTGAAATCAACATTGCCAATAAAGCAGCAATAAAGGAGAATATTTGTAGCTCAGGCTGAAATGAGGGGTGCTTGGTGCTCTCTGAGCTTGCTTATTTTCTTGTAGATGTTTCATTACCGAACTAGGTAACATCATCAGGGCTAGAAGGGAGGAGGATTTGCAGAGGAGGAGGAGAAAGAGGAAAAAGGAGGAGTGTGGGGTTTCTGGTGTTCTCTGAGCTTGGTTGTTTCCTTACAGACCTTTCATTACTCTAACTAGTTTAGCACTGATGATGTTACCTAGTTAGGGTAATGAAACATCTGCAAGAAAACCACCAAGCTCAGAAAGCACCAAGGACCCCTCATGGCCCACAAGGTTTATGGAGCTAGAAATCCCAGTATCCAGAAAGCAGTGTACTCTCTATGCCAATGTACCTCAACCTTAGCTAAGATGTGTGGATTTCAACTCCCAGGATTCTTAAAGTGGCCAAGACTGAAAAACGTCTGTTCTCAAAACCACCAAAAAAAATGTGACTCCGTTCCTTTTGGCTTGGTGGGACGTATGAACTCATCCAACCGTGGTTTCTAAACCAACCATCTTTTAGACAAAACAAGGCTTTGTGTGCTACAGAAAGACAGCCAGAGCACGGCAACTCTCACTTGTAATTTCCTTTTCTTTCTTTTTTTAAACAATTTATTTATACATTTTCCTTAACGTACATGAATCTATCTATATAAAAGTGAAATACCTCTCAGGCATCATCACAAAATCTCCAGAACTGTAAAGCCTATAAACTTGAAATTTGGAATGTAGGTTCCTCTTGGCTTCCAGGTGCTCACTAAGAAAGGATTTTTTGAAATGGCCATCACGGAAAATAGAGTATTTCCTATATTATGATTATGATTATGATTATATGATTATGATTATGATTATTAACACATTCTGATGCTAAGGAGTTCTACTCCCCCTCCCCATCTGAAAATAAATCTGCTCCAAATGCAAAACACAAGCAGAGGAGAGACGTTTCAGTTTCTCAGCACCAAGCAGCTTTTGTACAGAACAGTTGAGCTAAGCCACGCCCAGGCTCCTTGCTGTCTCCTTCTAGCTCACACAGCAAATACTCTTTCAGTTTCCAAACAGCCCTCAACTCTCTCACACACTGACAGGACACTAGCCAGATGAATACCAATAGATGCTGCTGGTAGGCAGAGGCAGAATTCCCCCCCCCCTGCGCTTATTTTCCTCCCCCAAAACTAAGCCCGACCACATAGTTTCATAGTGAAGTATCCAGCTAGTTCTTTATAAACAGCCTAAGAAGATACGTCATTGCAAAACGTATGGGGCACGGCTAAAGCATAGATTAGGGGACTAACCATAACCTATATAGTGAATTTAAAAAAAAAAAAAGACAACATCAGAAGTCATTGGAAGAAGAACATTAAAAAATTGAATTAGAGCTACAAAAAGATCCTTACTTGTAATTTCTTTAACAGGGCTGCTTCAGTGTGGTTACCCTGTTTGGCTTGTTTGGCTTTCCAGTATTGTTTCTGTGCAGAATATCGATTCATGGGACATACTTTGAAAAGGCAATCTGAAAAGCAAAAGCACAAAATCAACATTTAAAGAAGGATCTTCTCTTCCCTTCGTTCACTTGCAAACGCTGGTGGGTGGGCGAGTTTTCAGGTATATTTCACGAGGCCAGAGGCGTGCATCCGACTCGGCTGAAATTTGCAGACCCCCTTGTTGGATATCCAATTTTATTCAAACATAAGATACAAAGAAAAAAATAAATAGTAATGGAAAAGTAGGGTAAAGAAAAAGGGAAGAAGGGAAAATATCGGGTGAAAAGAGAAAAAAAAGAAAAAAAGGCATTGACTTCCAACTCTCTTCGACACAGTAAAAAGATAATAACGTTACAGCCTGAACTTTTTACTTTTATACAGTAGTGAATTCTAGCCATTTCTGTAATGCACCCACAACTTCTGGTGGCGAGCTGTTCCACTGGTTAATTGTCCTCATTATCAGGAAGTTTCTCCTTAATTCCAGGTTGAAGTTTCTCCTTAATTCTAGGTTGCTTCTCTCCTTGGTTAGTTTCCATCCCTTGTTTCTTGTCTTGCCTTCTGTTGCTTTGGAAAATAATAATTTGACCCCCTCTTCTTTGGGGCAGCCCCTCAAATACTGGAAAACTGCTATTCTGTCCCCCTTAGCCCTTCTTTTCTCTAGACTGGCCCAGTGGTGGGACTCAACATTTTTTACTACTGGTTCTGTGGGCGTGGCATCACTTGGTGGGCATGGCAGGGGAAGGATATACTGCAAAATCCCCCTTCCCTCCCTACCCCACTAACCTGCTTTCCAGCTCTGTTCTCCTGTGCAGGGCAACCACAGAAGACCCAGCCAATCAGCTGGGACTCAATGGGAGGCAGAGAATAGATGGGGGAGGGCCAATCAGAGGTGGTATTTATCGGTTCTCCGAACTGCTCAAAATTTCCGCTACCAGTTCTGTAGAACCGGTCCGAACTGGCTGAATACCTCTGGACTGGCCATACCCAAATCCTGCAACTGTTCTTCATATGTTTTTGTCTCCAGGTCTTTAATCCTCTTTGTTGCTCTTCTCTGCATTTTTCCCAAAATCTCAACCTCTTTTTGGGAATGTGGTGACCAAAACTAGATGCAGTATTCCTTGTGTGACCTTACTAAGGCTTTACAAAACGGTACTAATACTTCATATGATGTTGATTCTATGACTGTGTGTCATGCCCCTGTTGGAATCTGACTCCAGGGAGAGATGGAGCAGCTGACAGGGAGTGGGAGTGTGGCTCTGGTGGTTGTGGAAGACACTGGGGAAGGACACAGGCCCAATGGGCATTGAGGAAGACCCAGGCCTACCCCTTCTTTATCTTAGGGCATGCAGGGAGGAGCGGATAAGGGAGAAACAAGAGTGGCGTGGTCTATGGGGGAGGAAAGGGCCCTGATCCCCTTCATGGGCTGCAGCTGGGAGGACTGTTGAAAAGGACAAACTGCACATGGCAATGTTGCTGGGAGCAAAGCGTGCATTCTTCTAAGAGTTTATTGGTGTTTTGACTTCCTCCCAACTGTGGTTGCTGCATTATCTGGTAGAAGTCTGCAATTAATCATCCTTGCCTGTCTTACTAATTACTTCAGTGTGGTTTGTGTTGGGTTTTTTATTTCGAATTAACTTTACTTTGGGTGCGGACTGCATTTACTCCCTCCATAAACTGTTTTCTTTAAGAGTTTGATATCCTAACAAGAATAATTGGACATTGGGGCCAAGTTGGAGGCATTAAAGGGACTTTCTTCTATTTTTGTGACTTGGTTATTTTTGTGGCACGCCCCGGGTCATCACACTCTGTTTATACAACCAGGGATTGTATTAGCCTTTTTGGCCGCTGCAGCACACAGCTGGCTCATATTTAAGGGATCGTCCCACTAGGACTCCAAGATCTCTTTTCACAATTGCTGCTTTTGAGCCAGGTTTCGCCTCATCTGTACTTGTGCCTTTGTTGTTGTTTTTCTCTGCCCAGTTTCCAACCCGGAGATCAGATTCAAATTGCCCGATAACAGATTCACACATTCGAAATAGGAGAACCCTGGTGCATTTATTAAGTGAACAATTACTAGGAAGTTGGGCAGCAGGACCAGGAGTCCGTGGCATATTTGTTTTTGTATTTCCTCCCCCCCATCCCAGTTTCCATGTCTTTCAAAAAACGGCTTCCCTAGTGAAAACCTCTAAAAACCCATGCAAATGACTTCCTGTTCTATACTCTACTGTTCCATTTGCACAATGAAGCACAGAAGGGCCATTCAAGAGAAAGGTTTTTTTTTTTTTTGCAAACTGTTTTAACACCACGTCCAGAGCTAATTCTTCCTTCTCTCTCCTTCGTCTTTCTTTCTTTCTTTTCTTTCTTTCTTTCTTTTTTGCACAAAGGTCAACTTAGGTAGCCCAGCTCGGGTTGCACAAACCCAGCAACGATTCCCAGTTGAATATTTGTCTTTTTGCGAAGGAAAAATAAAAGTTCCCTGAGAATTCACCACTTCGGTTGGGCGCAAAAATATTGCAGTCCAGATGCCATTCGTGTTGACCCAGTGAGTCCTCCACTTACAATGGTTCTGTCTGCTTTGGAAGCCATATTGAGACCGGATGCTCCCACGCTGCCACATTTTTGAGCCTGGGAAAGTGGGAGAGGGGGAATTTCGTGGAGTGTGTTCTGACCCAAACCCTTTTCCAAGAAGACAAACAATAACCAAAGGGAACAGAAACCTTTTAATGAGTCTTACGAATCCCTGGTTAAAAGGCTGTTGCAAACTAATTAACTTTGATAAGCACGAGCCTCGCCAAAACTGTACGAGATTGCTAAGAATCACAGATAAGAAATATTTCACAACACAAGAGTCTTCAAATACCAACTTAAGATACTGGAATGTCCACGAGGCTGTTGTTTCAAAACGTCTTTGCTTCCTGCAAAGAATGTTCGCTTCACAACTGGCTTTTATCTTCTTGAAGGAGGGGCCATTACCTTGCAGCCTTACTCCCGAGTCGCCTGTGCTGTTGCAGCTGCTCTTTCCTGCAAGCAATCCTGTGCGCATGCGCACTTGGCACAGGCTCCTCGGGAACCTCCTCATCGCTGCTGCCAGCCCCCACAATCTTTGAAGGCAGCAGTCCACTCCCTAATGGTCCTGGCCCTCATCTGAGTCCTCGCTCTCCTCAGCCATCCGCACCTGCTGCCAGCTAACCACAACAGAGTGTATGTAGTTAGACGTAATAACATTCTTTTTCTAATTCAAGGTTATGTTATTTTGCGCATAAGTGAGCGGACGTCTCAAGTTGGGAGGGATGGTGATTGGGGCCTGTGATGCAATGAGGGGTGCAGGGGGTGGATTTGTAGTTTTTTTTTAACTTATTGCAAGGAAGCCCAGAACTTTCCAATTAGGGACTCCCCAGTTGTGCCGGTTTACTATCCAAAATAAAAAGAATTTTTGAGAAGATGTCTGTCTCAGAGTTATAGATTAGAGTGGAGTTTTTCTGGAACGCTGACGTGTTCATTTCATGACTGTCCAAAGTTACAATAGAGCTGGAAAAAGGGAATTGGGACCGTTTTTCACACTTAACGACCGCTGCAGCTCTCCCCACAATCACATGATCAAAAATGCTTGGCGCGTGGTTCATATTTACGACAGTCGCTGTGTCCAGGGGTCATGTGATTCCCTTTTGTGACCTTCCAACAAGCAAATCCATCAGGGAATCCAGATTCACTTAACAACCGGGTGGCTAATTTAATAACTGCATTGGTTCACTTAACAACAGCGACAAGAAAGGTCGTAAAATAGGGAAAACTCACCAAACAAATGTTTCACTGTTATAACTTTGAAGTCCCTTAAATAAACCGTTGTAACTCGAGAACTAGCTGTATTTTAGCTTCGTTTTGTATTTTCACTTTGTAAATAAATGTATTTTATTTATTTGTCAATAAATAAACTTTGTAAATAAATGAATTAAAAATTACAAAAAAAATTGGGAATTAAGAAGCAGGTGAATTTTTTTTACTATTTTTTTTAAATTTTCTATTACAAAATGACCATCTTTCAATTCAACGGTGTGTTAACTGTGTACATATATCTTGTGCACATCTTCATATTTAATATAAATTTCATGCTATAATATATATCATTAAAGTTACATTCATATTAAAAGTTTCATCCTTTTTTCTCTTATAATTATAGTATTCTCATTACCTCTTATCTTATAATCACTCAATTTCTTTGTTTTCCAACCATTTATAAAATTCATACCGTATCATACAATATTCTGTATCTTCTTTAATTTCCAATGTTAATCTATTCATTTCTGCACATTCAAATATTTTCATAATTACCTCTTCTTCTGTAGGAATCTTATTATTCTTCCAGTTTTGAGCAAATATAATTCTAGCTGTTGTTAAGATATGAATAATTGATTATTATTTTTTTTGAAGGATGGAGGAATATCTACCAACCATCCACACTTCTCTGGTTCAAAATAATTCCTTCCTGTCTTTCTTGTTCTTTAGCAACAGGGGCTAAAGACAAACTTGGTTTCTTTCTTGATTTTCTCTTCTTTACCAGTTTGCAAAGTTTGCAAATCAACTGTTGTGACTCGAGAACTAGCTGTATTTTAGCTTCATTTTGTATTTTAACTTTGTAAATAAATGTATTTTAACTTTGTAAATAAATGTGTTTTAACTTTGTAAATACATGTATTTTTTTTATTTGTCAATAAATAAACTTTGTAAATAAATGAATTAAAAATTACCCCAAAAATGGGGAGTTAAGAAGCAGGGGAATTTTTTTAAGGACGGAGAAACATCTAGCAACCATTCATGCCTGTCTTGCTCAAAACAATTCCTTCGTGTCTCTCCTTGTTCTTTAGCAACAGGGGCTAAAGCCAAACTTAGTTTCTAACTTGGTTTCTTTTTTGATTCTCTCTTCTTCACTGGTTTGCAAATCAGTGAGGCCAAAAAAAGAAAAAATTGGTTTCAGACCCACAACATAGATTGTGGTTTCATCCTGCCTATCACACACACAACTTCCTTTATTCTATTAATCTGTTGAACCCTGGATAAAGGCTTAATAAGTCAAAATCAGGTGAGCTGTGCAGCTGACACCTGCCCTATCGTTCCAATTTGCTCCGTGTAAATAAGGTGTTTGTACAATGGGTTCATTGTTCCTGTTTGGTTGACTTTAAAATAAAGTAGGAAGGGAAGTGTTACAAAGAGAGGTTCTTGCTTAAAGAGCACGGGGATAGAATTAGAGGATTTTTTCTTTTCCTAGAAGAAAAATTGGGGGAGGAAGAATAAGGAAATAAAAAGCAGAAAACAATGACCCTGTTCACAAAAGAAGACTTGTTACATCAGGAAATTTAAAAAAAACCCCACCAATAATATCTTAATATACTTTGAGCATGGATTTTGGGGAAGGGAAAGAGGAAAACTGAAATGGAGAAGAACAGAGGTTGAAATACTGAAACCACAAAATAAGAAGGATGTGCAAAAGTAGAATAGAATAGAATAGAATAGAATAGAATGGAAGAGTCGGAAGGGACCTTGGAGGTCATCTAGTCCAACCCCCTGCTCAGGCAGGAAACCCTATACCATTTCAGACAAATGGTTGTCCAATCTCTTCTTAACGTTATTTTGACAGGAAAAAAGACAAAAGGCTAAAAAAATAATAATCTGACAATTGCTACAGTTGGTTGTTATTTACAATGTGCTTTTCATGTTTTTTGTGCTGCTAGAAATTCTGTTTATCCATAGTACCGGCAGAGCAAACAAAGGGCACAGTCACCATGTGCTTTACTGCTCAACTGTTTAACTGGAACAGGAAACAGGAAAACTCTACTTAAGTATGTGCCACAGATCCAAACTTGTAAACACTGCCATCTACTGGCTGAATACTACTGTAGTTGTTGCATAGAAATACATCCCAATAATGAATTCCAACAAGTGCTTCTTACCTCGGAATTTTTTGGGAGGATTGCAAAGATCGCCTGCTTCCGGATGAACCACACACCTGTCATCCACGAGCCTAGAAGAAAAGAAGTCAAAAGGCTTTATCATTACTTTTACATTTATGGACCAAAATGAAGTCTCCAAAGATATGACTTTGGTTCTTTGGACTTTGCCTAACCGCAAACACTGCCCAAAATATAGATCCTTGTGTGAAAAATGCAGCAGTGTCCAGTTTTGTCACAAAACTGTAGATCAAATTGTTTTACAACTGCAACAGCAGTGATTCACTTAACAATGGTGGCAAGAAAGGTCATAAAATGGAACAGAACTCCCTTAACACTGAGAAAAACAAAAAATATGGAGCTCAACTGGGGCCATAATTCAAGGTTTACCTATATATAGATGTAATTGTTGGCGAGGCAATTCGACACTACCAAGCAGAGTGGTGAGAATAACAGTATAACAGAGATGGAAGGGACCCTGGAGGTCTTCTAGTCCAGCGGTCACCAACTGGTGGGCCACGGCCCATTGGTGGCCTGTGAGAAAATTTTGGTGGTCTGCAGAGAAATGCCACCCCCAGAGCACACTCACAAAGCAATTAATTCAGGCTGCGTAGAGCACAAGGCTGTGCCGCCCACATGGCCTGCGGGAACCCTCACCGCCTACTCATTCCTTACCTGGCAAACTTGCCTGTTAAGTTGCTATTTTTCCTTTTTTTCCCCCGACCATCATCTGTTCTGCTGTGCTGGGAGATTTAGATTAGCTAGAAAGCAGGAAATCATTGGATTTCTTGCTTTCTAGCTAATCTTTAGATCTTCGGTTCTGCTTTTAAGCAGAGCCGAACCTTCCTTAGGACTGAAGCTTCTATTATTCAGTTGCAGACTCAGATAGCCAATGACAGAAACACAGATCTCTGAGTGAATCTGTGATTCTGTGAGCAACTCAATCTGCCTGCCTGATTTGCCTGATTTTGGGTAAAAGTTGCTCTCTTTTTTATAAAAAAAAAAATCAATATCTACATACATGGTATGTTGTGAGTTAATTTTATAAGTTTGCTTGCAAGCAAATTTTATGTGACAGTCTCAGATAGCTGATGGCAGAAACACAAATCTCTGAGTGAATCTGTGGTTCTGTGAGCAACTCAATCTGCCTGCCTGCTTTGCCTGATTTGGGTAAAAGTTGCTCTTTTTTAATTAAAAAATTCAAAATCTACATAAATATTTATAATATTTACATACAAGCCATGCCCAGCCACTCATATGACCACCAAGCCACACCCACAAATTAGGCCACACCCAAGAACTGGTTGTTAAGAAATTTGAATCCCACCCCTGCCTCTGTGTGTGTGTGTATGTGTGTGTGTGTGTGTAAGAGAGGGGGGGGGTTAGATCAGATCTCTCTCTCTCTCTCTCTCTCTCTCTCTTTCTCTCTTTCTCTCCCACCAACGTCAGCAACCCACTGTCAGTCTAAATTCATATTAGTGGTCCCCGGGATTTAAAATTGAGTTTGGTGATCCCTGAGGTCCAAAAGGTTGGCGACCCCTGTTCTAGTCCAACCCCCTGTTCCAAGCCACTATTGTCACCGTTGTCACTTTTCTGATCACTGCCAAGACATTTTTTAAACAAATCCAACTAATAAATAGAAATTCCATGAACTGAAATAAGGAAGGAGTAAGAATTTGGTGTATACAGCATCCACTTTAAGTGGAAAAGCATGCAAGCCATCCCTTTCCACTGGCACTTCATTCCTCCAGGGCCTTGAAATCTCCTTTATAAACAACTGGCAAACACAACAAACTAGTTGTCATTCAGGCACCATCCTCATGTGAATGACCTCCCTGTTTCCTAAAAAAAACTTTGCATTTTTGCTCCCGTCTCTTACAAGGTTTCCTTTCATTGTGCGTGGAGAAATTCCCCACTTCCTCCCTACTCCGTACACCCTTGAAACTTTGCGCGGAGGGATTGCCAGGTTCTGTGCATTTACTGCAGCTCGCAGGAAGCGATAAGCAGAAAATGCACACCCAGCCAAGAGGAGGACTTGCTTGAGTTTCGGGTCAAGATGCTGCAGTGGAGGGTTTGTTCTCCTTGCCACTTGAATTCAGCAGGGGGTAGGCAGGAGGAGGGGAAATAGAGACCACTGAAGAGCCAAACATCCAGCGTTTGCATGCCATCCACAGGATAAGCAACAAACGGGGTTGCAAAACTGTCTGCCTTTACAACAGCTCCTTGAACCCACTTACCAACGGCAATAATTTGACCCCGTTCTGTTTTTATTTTTTTTAATGTGCTTCTCATTGTAATTCTGGTCTGTGATTGTAAGAAGCATTCTATTCTATTCTATTCTATTCTATTTATTCTATTCTATTCTGCATTCTATTCCATTCCATTCTTCTACCCTACTCTACATTACTCTTGAGGGTTATTCTAGCCTGAAATATTCAGCTTCTTAACTGAGGGGAATCCCCACAATTTGTGCCTCCCCCTCTTCTGTGACAAAACTCAGAAAAAATAGGAAATGCTATTTTTGCTCAGAATTTTCCTCTATGCAACTGAAACCCTCCCACATACCACTTGGTTTGTGCATGCGGGGAAATGTCTCCTGGCATTTTAAAAGTTCACTGATAATAATAATAATAAAGAGGAGGAGGAGGGGGGGAGGGGGAGAGGGAGAAGGAGAAGGTGAGGAGAGGGAGGAGGAGGAGGAGAAAGAGAGGGAGAGGGAGGAGGAAAGAGGAGGAGGAGCAGTGGAAAGAGGAGAAGGTGGAGGAGGAGGAGGAGGAGGAGGAGAACAGATAATAATAGATAATCAGAGTTGGAAGGGACCTTTTAGGTCATCTAGTCCAACCCCCTGCCCAAGCGGGAGACCCTACACCATTTCTGACAAATGGCAGTCCAATCTCCTCTTGAAGGTCTCAAGTGATGAAGCTCCCACAACTTCCAAGGGCAACTTCTGTTCCATTGGTTGATTGTTCTCAATGTCAGAAAGTTTCTCCTTATTTCCAGGTTGAATCTCTCCTTGTTCAGTTTCCATCCATTGTTCCTTGTCTGGCCTTCAGGTGCTCTTAAACCTTTCCTCTCTGTGGCAGCCCCTCAAATATTGAAAGATGCTATCATGTCTCCCCTGGTCCTTCTCTTTACTAGACTAGCCAAGCCCAGTTCCTGTAACCGTTCTTCATATGTTTTAGTCTCCAGTCCCTTAATCATCCTGGTTGTTCTTCTCTGCACTTTTTCTAGAGTCTCAGCATCTTTTTAAGAGTCTGGTGACCAAAACTGGATGCAGTACTCTAGGTGTGGTCTTACTAAGGCTTTATAGATTGGTATTAGTACCTCACTTGATCTTGATTGTATCCCTCGGTTAATGCAACTTAGGATTGCATTGGCTTTTTTGGCTGCTTCTGCATACGGCTGGCTCCTATTTAGCTGGTTGTCCACTAAGACTCCAAGATTCCTCTCCCAGTTCCTGCTATTGAGCCTGGTTTCACCCAGTCTGTATGTGTTCTTTGGGTTTTTCTGGCCTAAGTGTAGGACTTTCCTTTTCTCTACATTGAATTTCATTTTGTTAGATACCGCCCAGTGTTCTAGTCTGTCAAGATCCATCTGAATCTTGAGCCTATCTTCTTGGGTGTTAGGAGGAGAAGGAGAGGAATGAGGAGAGGAAAGAGGAGGAGGAGCCAGACATGCCTGTAATTACAAAAATTATTACAGGAAAGAGTTGTCATTCAGATAACAAGTTCTGGCAATGGCTAACCCCAGGAAAGTTGAAGAAATAGATGGAGGGACTAATTCTAGATGCATAAGAACAAATATGTGAAAACCCAGAATTGAGAAGACAGTAAAAGGCAGCAAAGAAGCTGAAGAAACAGTGGACCACGTGGTTAGCTGCTGCAAGAAGATCACACTGGCTGACTACAAACAACAGCATGACAAAGTAGCAACAAGGATGCATTGGACGATCTGCAAGAAATCCCTTTTGCCTGCAAGCAAGAACTGGTGGGACCACAAAATAGAAAATGAAGGAGCTAACGTGGTCTGGGGACATTAGAAACAGACAAAGCACCTGCCACACAACACCCCAGATTTAACAACTGTTGAGAAGGAAAACACTCAAAAAAAGTCTAGATCCTGGATGTGGCAGTACCTGGAGACAACAGAAGAGAAAGAACTGGAGAAAATGGCAAAAGATGAAGACTTGCAGATAGAAATAGAACGACCGAATTATTAAGGGTAAATACTCCAAAAAGATTAAATATTTGATTATGCATATTATTATGGCAGCAAGAATTGCACTAGCACAAGCTTGGAAAATGTCTACCATACCATCAGACTGTTTAATCACCCAAAAAAAATTTGAATGCGCAGAAATGGATAGACTCACTATAGAATTGAATAACAAGGAAGACTCGGAATATCATGCAACTTGGAACAATTGGTATCAATGGATAGACAGTAGAAGTACGAAAGATATAGGTTAAAAATAAACTATAAGCTTTGTATACCCACATGATTAATGAGAACCATGAATATTTGGAATGTATGAATATAGCCAAGATTTTTTTTTTTTGCGCTGTCAGAGAATGATGGTGAAGTATATCAACTTGTTTTTCTTTTGATAGACATATTTGTATTTTAATGTTTTAATTTCAATAAATACTTTTTGAAAATTAAATAATAATAATAATTCTAATTCTATTCTACTTTATCATCAGCATTGACAAAATCACCATCAGTCAATTGCAAAAGGCAGCTTTCCTTTGAACAACTGACATTCCTTAGGCAATATCTTTTAACACCATCAAAGAACAACATCTCCCTATATCCCAGGTCTTTGGAAATGTATCAAGAGGTAGACAGAAACGCCAAATCCGATCTAAAACTCTGGATGATTGTGCAACCAATCAGAAATAATAAACTAAAATAACTCTTCTGAAGTACAACTCTGTGTTCCGATTATGAAACTTCGTTTTGGTTTTTTTGTTAAGGAATGGAAAACTGCCTAGTTTTGATCAACTCTCTCTGAAAACAAGGAACTTAGCTGTTAAGTTAAAATTCAGCTGCTTTGCAGTCAGAAAGCATTGTC